GTCCCTTCTTTTTACTAGTGGTTTTGCTGAGGACGCTGGTTTTGTTTCCTCCAAAGGTGTGTCTATCTTTTTGGCCTTCAAATATTGATCGTGGACATTTTTGCAGCATCTGGCATGATAGTTTGGTTCCTTGCTTTCTGTCTGCTGCAGCTTTCATCATACAATTTCCTCTTCTTGTTTTGGTCAAGAGGAGGGGCACACAATCGCAAGCCTGAGTGTCACTCAGAGGAGATTCGTTTTTGTTTCTGCTTTTCCTGGTGGAGCCTCTTAGGGGATACAGGCCAGGACAGGGCAGCTTGTCCTCCCGTTGGAAGATTGGTTCCCTCCACCAGGATCACTTCCTTGGTCCAGACGAGGTAACATCTGCTTTTATTTTGTTTCTACCACATGATCGTATGTGTACGCTAGAGCATTTCAGATGGTGTGACAGGAGAGCGGGATGGGTGGGAAAGCCTTGTTGGCTGTGTTAGAACTGGTTAAATGGCAGCGTGTGAAAACTGGCGTCTGGCACTGGTTATTTTCTTTTTGAGTGTGCCATGACTTCTGCTGTGTGCTAAGAAATTAAGGTAGCAGGATCTCTGGAGTTCACTGCTCTTTAACTGGATCATATGTTTGTGTATTATCCATCTTGAAGAAGTCATAATAAAAGCCAGGTCAGATGGCTCAGTGTGTAAAGATACTTGCTTCACAAGCCTGTCCACCTGAGTTTTATCCGTGGAACCCGCATAAAGGTGGAACGAAGCCAGGTGCAGTGGCGCATGCCTGTAATCCTAGCACTCAGGGAGGCAGCGGAGGCAGGGTCGGGCAGATCTGAGTTCGAGGCTAGCCAGGTTTTCAAAGTGAGTCCAAGACAGCCAAGGCTACACAGAGAAACCCCATCTTAAAAACAACAAAACGAGAGTGGAATGAGAGAACTCACTCGGAACAGCTGTCCTCTGGACACACGTTGGCACCAACCAACAAAATAATAATAAAAAAAAAAATTAGAGAAAATGTGAATAGTTTCAGAAAATTTCATTAACTAACAAAATCTAGGGAAGGATAATTCCATATGCAGCATGTTCTCCATATTTTCTGTTGGCTGTAATCTCAGATAGTAATGCAAACGTGAAGGTCACCTCCTTTTGCTGTGTGCTGAGAAATAAAGTCTATGGAGTTCACTGATCTTTATCTGGGTCATCTGTTTGTGTGTTATCCATCCCGAAGGAGTTGTGATAGGAGGCAGGTAAGAGGCTGAGTGTGTAAAGTGCTTGCTACACAAACCTGACCAACTGAGCCTTATCCCTGAAACCCACTTCAAGGTGGAATGAGAGAGCTCACCATGTAAAGTTATCCTCTGGACACACATGTGCCATGGCGCATGCAATACTCCATCAACAACGATAACAAATCACAGTTTAAAAATAATACAGTACTGGGAAGATTCCCTTTTCCTAAGCGATCTTGGCTGGCAGTTGTGGCATACAGCTTAAATCTCAGCCTCAGAAGGCAGGGGCAGGTAGACCTCTGTGAGGTCAGCTTGACCTACAGAGCTAGTTACAGGACAGCCAAGGGCTATACAAAGAAACCCTGTCTTGAAAACAAACGAACAACAAGCCAAAAAGAATGGTGAAAATGTGAATAAATTCAGAAAACTCCATTAAAAAACTAGAGAAGAATCAATCTATGCACAGTTTGTTTTCTGTGTCTGTTGAGTATTATCCCAGTTATTAATGTAAGGGTCAAGATTAATTTTTATATGCAATATTTAAATATTTACTATTTAATAATATATTTATATTATCAGATTGGATCCTTATGGGCATTAGTAATGACGTAGTGACAAAATTTATTTTCATATAGGCTCCTCTGGCAACATCTTTTACTAGAATATAATATGTGAAATGATTGTGGACATGAAATAATTTGGGATTAAATTTCAGGTTGTATTCCACGATTTTCCTCTGTTGCTTTTACACTACAGCCCTGCCATGACCCTTTCCACTCACCTCATTTCTTCAGTTATTCCAGGTTAGGTTGAATGTTTAAAAACTTGGAGCCAGACGCCCTAGATTCAGGAAATCACACAGACTTGTCTTTCTTGGTTATCCTACTGAGTAGGATCTTTCCAAGTTCTATTTACCAGGCCTAACCCTGGAGAAGAATTTGTAGGATGTGGCTAGGTGGAGAGGTTGCACATCTCAGGAGTTTGGGCTTTAACCCGAGAAATATTTATATATTTGGAGTCCCAAATTTTAATCATCTGCTATATTAACATTCAAATATTATCCCAAAGGTGGTGCCTGGGAAACTCAGATAGACATGAATAATTGAAAAGACTGCAAGAACATTTTTTTTCTTAATGTGTTTATCAAAATGTATAAATAGTTTTAATGCAAAAATTTTATTTATTCAGAAATCTTTGAATTTTGTTATTTGAATTGAATTTATTATTGAATTATTGAATTGTTTTAATGATTTGTGGTTATAACAATTTTGCCTAACTTTTTAAAATGTATGTAGAGTATTTTGAACAAACAGTTCATGTCACTATTACAATGACTTAGTATTTTTTACAATTTTTGTCCATATGTCTTAATAACAAATGTTATGTTCATTAGAAGTATAAATAAATTTAAAAGAAATCTGCAAAGAGTTTTCATGTGTGGTGGAAATCAGGGTCAGTCCATGTTAGGGAGTTTAGATCATTAATGGAGTTAATCAGACCCCACCCTTTCCCACCTCACTGCAACATCAGATCCAAGGGCATTTTAACTTTTTCTTTAGAAATCACTCAAGGTCCGCTTTAACAAGAACATACTTCATATACCCGAAAGATGAGTGACCGGGACATCACTTACACAACTGTGAGATTTCATAAGTCTTCAGGGTTGCAGAACAGAGTGAGACATGATGAGACTCAAGGATCCAGAGAAGCTGGCTACAGAAGTAAGTTTTTGAAGTGCCTAAATTCACCTGTTTTTGTTCATTGTAACTTCTGACTTTTGAAAACAATATCCCACTGGCTCTTACTGAAACCAGTAACCCTGTTTCTAGTTACTAGCTGGTACCAAAAGAAAGCTAGATGGGCGGTGGGAGATTAAGATAAAAGCTCTTGAGAATAGAGAAGCTAGATGTGAATCTATTCGCTCAAATTTGAGAAAACTTAAGAGTTTTTTTGTTTGTTTTGTTTTTTTGTCTAGTCAAGAATTTTGAAAACTTAAAGGTTTAAAAATTAACAGACAAACTAGAGTCTGAGAAAACAACAGATTTTGTAGAAAGGAAATGAAAACTGTCTCTCCAGTGATCCTGCAGAACTGGGTGAGGGCACATGCCTGTCTTCTAGCTATGTGTAGGCTGAGTTGGGAGAATTGAGAATACAAGGCCAAAGGTGAAAACCATTTAAATTCCTGTGACACATCACAGATGTAGGATTTCTACACCGGGGGCACGTTAGGCAGAAAGCTACAATTTTGAAAGCTCATTTTCAGTCAGTTTATATGATGTACTTTTATAAAAATTTTAGACCAATGTCCCCTTGTTTCCATCCTACACAAAATTATAATTAATGTTTGGACTTGCTCTTTTCATGGTGATGATTTTCTTGCTCTGTTTTGTTGACTGAAGAGTGTTCAGTCTCCTGGAAGCTCATTGTGATACCTCTCGGAATCTTTTGTTCCCTTCTGCTGGTAACTGTCGCAGTGCTGGTGACACACAGTGAGTAACTGAGATCTGTCTCCTGTGCCTTTCTGCCTAAGTAATGACTTTAGACTCTAATTACGCAGTTAACACACTCTGTCCCTTGTCCTGCCTATCATCAGAGATTTGCCAGATAATCTGTACTTCATGTGTTTGGCTGTTTTTACCCCTGATAGACTGCAGTGTCCTGTTCTCTGTTAGACCTAATATTTTAAATCTGGGGCTGCTGCCCTGGTCTGTCTCCTTGGTGGCCGTGTTCCTTTTGGGGACTTGGTGATAGTCTGCCGTCTGAGCTCAGGTGATTGTGAATCTTAGGTAAACATTCTGTGAGGAACAGCTGTGCAAAAGATACGAGGACCTTTTTCTATGTTTCCTCGGTGTGTATTGAGGACATGGTTAAGTAAATAGACTAGATCTGTCTATTTATGGAGACATTAACGCTTTAGCAATATTTGATTCCTTCACATCTTTAGGGGAAATCACCCCCGTCTGTGTATCTGGATATTATGCTTTCCATCTGGTCCATTTTGTATTGTTCAGTTTCTTTCTGTTTCTTATTTTCATATTTTTAGTATAAAGTGTTCACTGAATATTTTAATTAGGTATTTGTTTGCAAGTTGTAGGCTGTGAAAAAATGAAGTAGTTAGAAGATACAGTACTTTCACCATAATATTACTCAGCTGTATCATATAATTTACATTGAAGTTGTAGATAGAGAGAAATTCATGTTTCCATTTCTATATTGAGTTAATTAAGGTGTTACTTTCCAAATGTCAAAGTAGCAATTAAACTCATGATATGTGTTGGTTGTCAACATGAGTTTTCCCTCTAAACTTTAATTTCAATATTTACCCTTTATGAACATTTTTGGTGTTTATATATCTGCTATTAATTTTAGTTTTTCAAGAGAAACACGAACAGGAGAACATTCTAAATAACCTCCATCAAGAGAACTACACATTAAAAAGTAACATCTCCTTAAAGGAACAAATGCTGAAAAATAAGTCTATAGAGATTGATTACCTCAAAGGTCAACTGGACTTCCTCAAAAGACAACGGAACAGATGCCACGAGGAAACCCAGATCATTTTAGGTTGCTCACAACCCACAGGTATGAAGGGGATCATGAATACAGAATTTTGTTATTCTGTATTGTTTCTTTTCTGGAAGCTTTGAAGTCCAGTTAGCAGCTTATGATGCTAGTGATTTTAGTGTTACTGGTTTGGGGTTTCCTTATCTCATGTAGAGGCCCGGAACCCCAGAAACTCATGCTTGGAATAGGAAAATCTCATAGTTTCTAGAACTCAGTGGCCATTATGGCTCCTGCTGCTCTGAGGGGATGAAATCACAACTCAGCATCCACGAGAATTCAGGTTGTTTTAATTCATGAACAAATCTAAGTTGCTAATAGAAAATGGAAATTTCCAGTAAGATTGTATTTACCAAACCTTTAGGGTCAAATGGACTCAGAATTTACATGGATGCAATCATAAATCTAAGTGTGTGTGTTTTCCTTATACATTGTTCTCAAACAGATGGCCTGTTTGCGACCAAGATATTCTTCCTCCAGGGCACATGGTGGCTTCACCATGCTGCCAAGTAGTGATACCGTTAATGATGCCAAAAAGATGAAACTGTCAAGTGTTACAAGGAATCTTTTATTCCTTATAGCACACCTAGTTATCTTTAGTTGAGACAGTCGCCACTCATTATTAAATATTTGTTCATGATTTAGTATTTATGAAGATATTTTACAGATGATCTCACTATGTTGTAATAATAGAGGTTAACACTCTTTATCAAGCAATCGATGATAATATCAGGAAAAGAAAAAGAAAAATCTCCACAAAGGATCCTTGAAGAATTCCAGACTCATCAAATGTTTTGTTACTTTAGAATAAAATATGTATCACCATTAAATGATAGCATAATACTGTAATGTTTTTGTTTAGGAGGATGAAGCAAGAGAATTCTAAATTTGAGGACAGTCTAGGTTGCCAGCAAATGCCAGGCCAGGCTGAGCTAAAGAAGGATGGAGATAAGTCCACTAACAGACTCTGGCCATCCCCAGCCCCTCACCAACAAAATGATCCTGTTGAGATGATGTTGCTACATAAACTACACTCGTATTAACACATACAGCCTGACACCTTTGGCCGTGTGGGCATACCCTTGAAGGCATCACCACATCTAAACAGACAATTACCTTCAAAACCTTCATTTACCTCTTAAGGTCAGAGCATCTGGCAGAGCACACAGCACACTCCAAGTGCAGAGTAGCTTATGGGCCCCTGTGGGCACAGTGAGTTACTGCAGATCTGGAATTCTGTCCTTCATAGAACTGCCTCTGAGGAGCTAGTGCTTGTTCCCCAACCTCCAGGGATCTCACAAGGTTCTTCTTAGCCTTGTGCTCTGTTAGAAACCCCATCTGAATGGAGTCATAAAGGACAGCCCTGGTGTGTTTCACTCCTCACACTATCCTTCAGTTCATCCATGGTCCTCTAAGGGACGTTCTTGCATACTCCTGAGAAGGGGAGAGTTTGCAGTGACAGTGCTGTCTCATTAGTAATGAGTTTCCTCATAACACGTGTCCTCATACGAGATGAATACCAGGTAGGAGCCTCCTGTACAAATGTTCAAATATGTCAGGATCTCTTTTTTAGGGTGTGAGACATTGTTACATTCTGTAGCCCAGGCTGACTTGGAAGTCACTGTAGAGCCCAGGCTGTCCTGAAGTTAACAATTTAGGGTAGGATGGTCTCACCCTCTTGGTGATCCTTGTGACTCACTCTGTGGAGTGCTGAGTTACAGCCATAAAATATCATGTCTGGCAGTATTTTTCCTTTTAAAGGCTAAATAGCATTTCTTTGTCTGTATGTGCCACATTTTCTATGCTTCATCCACAAAAGACACTCAAGTTGTTTCCATATCTCTACTGTGATAAACAGTGCTACATAGAGCATGGGTTGCGGAGGGGTCTCTTGGCATTCTAGATTCTCAGTTTCTGAGAGCTGTGAGATTTTACTTAGTGACAGATGTTTAATAAATAACAGAATTATCTGATAACAGAATACCAGAAAATAATAAGTTTAACCATTCACCTTCTCTGTTGTAGGAAAATGTGTTGAAGGACGCTGGTTTTGCTGTGGCATAAAATGTTATTATCTCATCAAGGACGATAAGCCTTGGAGTGAATGTTCACAGACCTGCCAGGATTGCAGCTTATCCCTTTTGAAGATAGATGATGCTGTTGAACTGGTACCAGGACTCTCATATGCTTCTCTATTCTTAGACTCGATCTCTAATCCTTATATAATGAGATGTGAGCTCAGGCAGGTGTTTTGAAAAAACCTTCAGGGGTTTTATGTTTTTTTTTCTGTAATGTGAGCAAAAACTGTGCAGTAAGAGTTTCTTTGTCGACTCATTCCTGCCTCCCATTTAATTCCATGAGTATATTATGAAAAGATTTGTCACTAAAGAGACAGTTGGGTCTTGCAGTGTCCTCCCTTTCTCAGGAGTCTGCAAGAGAGTTCCTCCAAGAAGCATATCTTTCTCTGATGAAGTCTAACCATTTGGCACAGCACATACTGTGTGTGACAGTTATTTATTTTTATAGGATACCAGAGGCGTCTGTGTAGGGCTTGCTGTTGGAACCCAGTAATGGGACCTCTTGAGATGAATAATTGGATGGCAATAGGAAAAGTAATATACTTTGAGCCTATCTTCAAAATGGAAATGATGTGTGAACCATGCAGCTACAGTTATACAGTGAGCTCATGGAGAGATTTTACTGAATCTGTCCACAGTGCTTACTTCATAATATTCTTTGTATCATAAAAGATGCCTACTTTAGAAATAATAATTTAAAAGGAAACAAAGTGACCAAGATACTGACACTGTCTCCATATATTTATTACTAATGAAATCTTTCTGAATTTGTAGATTGTATTTTTCTAGAGAAATGCTCGGAGGATGACTTTGAAACATCAGTTATTTAGAACATGGTAGAAAATTTATATATCAATTTAATACATTTTCAAACAATTACAACATAAAATAATTTGTAATGATATAGTTTTCCATTGGATGGTGCAGTATACATAGTTAAGTTTAACCTTGTGTCTAGAATATATTCTGAAATTCAATGAGGCATCATGCTGCTTGGCTGTCTCATGTAAGACACAGTAACTACCTCCAAATGTTTCCCCATCTCTTCCTCAAGTTCTGTCACGTGCAGTTCTGAACTACAGAAAGCCTTCCTCTCTGTAGATTGGAACTTAATCCACAGCTTTTCACACACGAGTTTTCATCTTAATGGATTTATGTTGAAGTCAGGAGGTCACTTTTGATGAACACTTCTCACAGGCTTCTGTGGTCTTAAGGAAAAATCATTTGAATAATTTGTATAAGTGTCAGAAATTATCTAATGAGTCAGTGTGTAGTGTGCCCTTGGGTTCCTGAGGCCGGAAGATTATGAGTTCAAGGCCAGCCTTACAAATCAGTTAATTAAGCAAGTATCAGTAGACATCTGATGTTTTCATTTTAGATAACTTATGTAACTGACACTGGTTTTGACAAAAGTGAGCTACTAGTGGGAAATCACTTTAGAAAGTGAACATGAAGGGACTGAAGGGCTGGAGGACAGGACAGCAGGGAACAGCTGGGGCTTTTCTTGGTTGTTCTCTTACCAAACTGATGACAATTTTATCACAAAATGTGTTGCTTCCTTTACAGAATTTCCTTAAGCCCAAATTTTATCAAAAGAAATACTGGATTGGATTAAGACGTAATAGAACCAAAAGAAAATGGCAGTGGATTGATGATGTCCCGTCTAACCTGTGAGTTTCCGAACCCTTCACCTCCAACACTGGTGCGCGAGTTTAGAGGATGTGTGCAAAGGCTTTTCTATCATTTTACACGGCTTTCCTCGCTTTCAGTGGCACTCACTGTTTAGGACCAGATGCATGAAGTAATGTTTGGTCAAGTTTTAGACAACGAATAGGAGCAGGCTAGAAACTGACTGCTAGGGATGTAACACTAGCACAAGACAGATTGTGACACAGCACAATCAAAGCAAAAGCTCAAGGTAGCATGAAGTGACTGGATCATCCTGACAGACGAAATGAGCATGGTTATCTCGGACATTACTTGGTTTGTCTCTATAGTTACTTATATAACATAAATATAAGAGCATGTTTATATATTTATGTATCTATTTGCATTCTAATTCATAGTGTTGCAGTGTATATCTAAAGTTTTTGTCCATTTCTGATGTGATAGAAAACTGTTCATTGATTTCCTTCTTAATAATGTTTTTTTCTCTAGGAATCTCTTGAAAAGGCATGTGCCTTGTAGTGATACATGCTTTTAATCACAGCACATGGGAGGCAAAGCCTGGTAGATCTCTGAGTTCAAGGTCAGCCTGGTCTGCTAAGCCAGTTCCAAGACAGCCAGGGCTACAGAGAGAAGCCTTGTCTTGAAAAACCATCACCACCTCCAGCGACAGCAACATATAACATGAAATAAAAAAAATACAAAATGAAAATGTCCTACATACACAGAATGAACTGTGGTTACATCATTCTCTTCTTGTCCCCTCAAGCCTCCCCTGCAGGTGCCCTAACACACCCTCCCCTAACCATGTCTTCCTAATTAACTGTAAAGGTGCATGATTGTAGGCCTCTACAGGAGCTAGTACCCCCCAGTGGCCACATCCCCAATCAAGAAGGAATCTCCCATTTCTATCAGCTGCCACCTGGCAGTGATTCATTAAGTGCAGAGGGCCCTCCCCGTCTAAGCAGGATTTTTGCTTGGGAACAGGGACCGTCTCTGCCATGAACTCAGTAGCTGGCTCTTTGATCACCTCCCTCTGAGTGGAGAGCTGCTTTACTAGGCCACAGTGGAGGACCATGCAGACACTTCTGATGAGACCTGATAGGCTAATGTCAGAGGGAAAGGCAGGAGGACCTTCCCTATCAATGGAGTTGGGGAGGGGCATGGGAGGCCATGAGGGAAGGATTGTGGAATTGGTAGGGCATGAGGAAGGGATTCAAAGTGAATACAAAGGGATGCAAAGTGATACAGCTGGGATACAAAGTGAATAAATTGTAATTAATAATAAATAAATAAATTTTAAAAAGGGAAGGCTGGTGGCCAGAAGGCTTCTGTGGCCACCACAAGCATTTCCTCCAGTGGAATGGTCCAGAAGCTTGTCCACAAGTTACAATGTCAGGTTCTAATGAACCTAAGTGAGCACCTTTGAGCCTAATGTGTGTTTCCTGTTTTGAGGTGTAGGCAGAAATCACCACAGAGGTAAAGTTAGGAGCTCATGATGCAGACTATGTGCTTCCTGGGTACCTGTGAACAGTGTCTTCTGCTGGATCCTCTTCCTCTTTGCCCGTGTTCAACACACATGCTTCATTCATTGTACCCATAATCATATCTCAGGGCTGGCTTATGTGTGCACTCATCCCTACTGTACCTTACATGTGCTGTCCACGCATCATGGTCCACTTAGTTACATTTATCTTCCTTTTCTGTTCCTACAGTAAATCTAAATACTTCTCCCTGGCTTATGTCAACAGCTCAAGAAAGTTGATATTTATTGAAGATTTATCCTTTGACATCTCAGCCTTGGGAGTTCTGTAGATTTCATTCCCTGTTTCATCATCTTTGGCACAGATTCTCATTAGGTTAGTCTGGTTCAATCTCATTGTGTTGCCCAAACCAGCCTTGAACTCCTGATTCTCCTGCATCTGCCTCCCAAATGCTCAAACTACAGTTGTGCGTCACTGCATCTGTCTGCATATATTACTTAGGATTTGTATGATCCTTTTCCATAGATTCATTATTCATCTTGCCCTGCCTGTTAGAAGAAAGACTGGCTGCCATGCTCTGCAGATCCTTTTAGAGTTTTACTTCTACTGAAACCCCATTTTGTATAGGAATCTGCTTCTTTCCTGTTCATAAATCTATCGAATACTCTTTTCATTATAGTTAATATTTAATTAAGGTCTTGCTCCATAGTCTATTCTGTCCTGACTTATATTACTTTTAATTCAGCCATGCAAATTCTGAGTTTATAGACATTCATCAACTTTCCTAATGCTTTATTTGGAAGGTAGTTGTGGTATTAATGCACCATCCTGCAGAGACTGCAGTTGTGTTGACTACAGGGAAGTTAGTTAATCACCATTTTTCAGGCAAGCCTCATTAGCTCTGAGGAGGGGGAAGAAAGAGGAAATCAACAGAAACAGTGTGTTTATTCCTCTTTTGTGACTTTATTCAAACCTTACCTTTCTCCCTAAGACGGAGAAATTGAAGACCACGCCCTGTGTGCCACCCATTATTACTTCTTTTTATTTGTATTTATTGTAAAAGTACCATAGAAAAGTATAGTTTAAAAGTAGCTCTTACAATACTGAAATTTTATTTTGCTTGAAGATTAAAATTAACAATGTGGTATAGATAAGAAGTTCATCTACGAATGACCAAGAGTCCATTTCTACTTTGCACTTCTATCACGTGTATTTATGTTTGTGTGATTGTATGCACGTGTGTGTGCACGTGTCCCAGGACGTGTGTGGTTAGAGGACAATTGAAGGAGTCACTTCTCTCCTATTCTGTGGCATCTGGGGTCTGAACTCAGGTTGTCAGGTTTGGTGCCAATGGCCTTACCCCACTGACCCATGTCACTGGCCCAAGACTTTTGTGAGTTTAGAAAAAACATTAAAATCATCTTTTAGTGATTCACTTACAGTTAATTCCATATTCTGTATATATTTTATATTAACTTTTTAATTTTTAATTATACTTTGTATCCCCCCTCTAGTACCCCGGAGGAAAGTGTATATTTTGTTCAATAAACTTTAATATAAAAACTATGGTGTGCATCAGTGTTAGCTTCAAATGTAAATCACTGTCCATTATATTTTTGTTTTACAGAGATTTGGCGGTAATGGATTCACTACGTGTCATAGGAGACTGTGCATTTCTAAGTTCAACGGGCATACATGATGATGACTGTGGCAGAGTCCACAGCTGCATATGTGGAAAGAGATAAATTCCCTGTTTCAATGTGTGGTACAAAGGAAAGGTAAAAAAATGAACTTGCTCATCTTTGTTTCCTGTGATGAATTTTGACTACTTAACAGCTGAATCTTTTATTTACAGAACTCAGTCTGCTGTGAAAACAGAGTGATGCGCTTGAAAGGGAAGAAATGTTCTGAAATCTGACTGCACAGAGCAGAAGCCACCTTTTTTCCTGGTGAACAGAGCAGCTTGTGTCTGGAGAATGTATGCCTTTGCTCCAAGCCCTCAGGAATCACTCTGTTTCCTGAACAATAGCAGAAACACTTCATAATCATTAGGATAAATCATTTCTTTATCCCATTGATCTGATATCACAGTTAAGAACTTGCGTGCAATTGTGGGTTTCTGTTTGTTTGTTACTTGGTTGGTTACTGTTTGTTATTTTGGCAGGTAGAAGAATTTATCTTTAAAAAGCATTTTTTTTCTTTCTGTAAAATACAATTTCAGACTTGATGAATAGTCGCCAGGCTACTTCAATGAACCTATACAACCTTTCCATAGCCCTTGTGTGTTCCCCTTTTCTCTTTCCACACCTCTGTCTCTCTCCCTATGAGCCATTTGATGACAAATTGAAACCCTATATAGTGATATTGATTGAGGCCACCTGGATGTGGTGGCCAAGACTCATAATCTTATAGGAACAGTGTTTGAAGGTTCTCCAGTCTACATAATAAGTTTGTGGCCACCATGAGCTATAGTATGAGACTCTGTGTCATGAAGTCTAATATTAATAATGATGATAATAATAACCAAACTACTAAACTTTCCATAAATATTTTCTATGAACAAGTAATTTCTTTTACAATATCATACTGAAATAACAAAACTGAGGAAGTAGAGTATTGATGTAATAATATCTTTTAATCTATAATCCGTATTCATATGTGTCAGTTTTCTGGGTCACATTGTCATTGATGATATTTCCAGGATTTACGCATTTTATTCACTTGTAATGTGTTTCAGTTTTGAAAGTGCTATTGAGTTATGATTTTTTTCCTCTGACATTAAAAATTAAAATCTTGGTGTTGGAGTATGTATGTAATGTAATGTCCACACTGTAAGCCATGAGAAATGTGGGTTTTAACAGATACACACATGTCCTCCACCACCGTTGTGCAGAGTAGTTTTATGTCCAGAGTTGTCTGATATCAAGGAACCTCTCCTGAGAGAATGCCTCCACATGTTCTGGCTGTAGCCAAGTCTGTAGGGTGTTTTCTTAATTAGTTATTGATTGTGAGAGCCAAGCCCATCGTGGGTATTATCACTTCTGGGCTGGTAGTCCTGGGTTCTATAAGAACGCTGGCTGAGCAAGCCATGAGGATCTTCCAGGAAGATGCACTCACCCACAGCCTCTGAATAAGCTCCTGCCTACAGGGTCCTGCTGTTTTAGAGGCTCTCCTGACTTCCTACAGTGATGGAGAGTGATGTGGAAATGTAAGCAAATATAAACCCTTTCCTCCCCAAGATGTTTAGGTCATGGTTTTTTATTTTATTTTATTTTTGTTTTTATTTATAATTTATTTACTTTATATCTTGACTTTAGCCCCCTCCCTCATCTCCTACCAGTCCTTCCCTCCCTCCCTCTTTACCCCTCATCTCCCTTTCCTAGTCCACTGAAAGGGAGCGTCCTCCTCCCTTGCCATCTGACCCTTGCCTATTAAGTCTCATCAGGACTGCCTAGATGCTTTTCCTCTGTGGGCTGGCAAGGCCTCACCACCAGGGGGAAGTGATCAAAGGGCAGGCAGGCAACTGAGTTCCTGTCAGAGATAACTCCTGTTCCCCTTATTTGGAGATCCACATGGAGACTGAGCTGACCCTGGGCTACATCTGAGCAGGGAGCCTATGTTCTCTCCATGCATTGTCTTCTGTTGAAGTATCAGTCTCTGCTGGGCACCCTGGGCCCAGAGTTTTGGCTTTGTTGCTCTCCTTGTGGAACTCCTGTCCTCTCTGGGTCCTTCTTTTCCTCCCCTATTCTTCCGCAAACTCCCTGCCCTCTACCCAAAGTTTGCTTGTGAATCTCTGCATTTACTTTGATCACCTGTTGGGTCAAGCCTTTCAGAGGACATAAGTAGTAGGCTCCTGTCTTTCTGTTTCCTCTCTTCCACTGTTTCTGGTGTCTATCCTGTTAGCAATTCTGAATGAGAATTAAACAACTTCTCTAGGGTCCTCCTTGTTGTTTAGCGTCTTTAGGTCTGCAGGTTTTAGTATGGTTATCCTGTATTTTATGGCTACTATCCACTTATGAGTGAGTATATACCATGTGTGTCTTTCTGCTTCTGTGTTTCCTCACTCAAGATGATCTTTTCTAGTTCCATCCATTTGCCTGTAAATTTCATGATTTTCTTGTTTTTAATAGCTGGACCTCAACAACATCTGAAATAGCAAAAGGCCTACACACACATGGAAACTGAACAACTCTCTACTCAACGACATCTGGATCAGGGAAAAAATAAAGAAAGGAATTAAAAACTTCCTAGAATTCAATGAAAATGAAGGCACAACATACCTAAACTTATGGGACACGATGAAAACAGAACTAAGAGGAATGTTCATAGCACAAGTGCCTTCATAAAGAAGTTCACTGGCTGGAGAGATGGCTCAGCAGTTAAGAGCACTGCCTGTTCTTCCAGAGGTTCCAAGTTCAATTTCCAGAAACCACATGGTGGCTTTCAATCATTTGTAATGGAATTTGATTCCCTCTTCTGCTGTGCATGAACACAGGGTTCATATACATAAAATAAATAAATCTTAAAAAAGAAATTCATGACATTTCATACAAGCAACTTAATGGCACACCTGAAAGCCCTAGGGAAAAAAAAAAAGCAGACACACCTAAGAGGAGTAGATGGCTGGAAATAATCAAACTCAGGGGTGAAATCAATAAATTAAAAACAAAACAATCCAAAGAATCAATGAAACCTGCTACTTTGAGAACATTAACAAGATAGACTAACCCTTTGCCAAACTAACTAAAAGGAAGATAGATACTATCCAAATCAATAAAATAAGAAATGAAAAGGGGGACATAATGACAGACACGCCAAAAAATCATTTGGTCTTACTTCATAAGCCTATATGCCACAAAATTTGAAAATCTAAATGAAATGAACAATTTTCTTTATAGATTCCACTTACCAAAGTTGAATCAAGATTAGGTAAATAAATTAAATAGTCCTCTATCCCCTAATCAAACAGAAGTACTCATCAAAAGTCTCTCATTCAAAAAAAGCCCAGGGTCAGATTGTTTCAGTGCCGAATTCTACCAGACCTTTAAAGAAAAGCTAATTCCAATACTCTTCAAACTATTCCACAAAATGGAAACAGAAGGAACATTACCAAACTCATTCTGTAAGGCCACAGTCACTTTGATACCTAAGATGCACAGAGACCCAACAAAGAAAGAGAATTTTAGAACATTTTCCCTTTTGAACATTGACACAAAAATACTCAATAAAGTCCTCTCAAACTGAATCCAAGGACACATCCACCATGACCAAGGCTTAGGCATGCAAATCCTAGGCATGCAGGGATGGTTCAATACACAAAAATCCATCAATGGTAATCCACCATATAAACCAACTGGTCATGATGTTTTAACAGAGCAATAGACACCATAACTAAGAGAACTACCAAATCCCCCCAGGACAACTTTGTTACCTCCCCAAATTCTTTTCTGCCCCTTGCTCTTCCCACCTGGCTCCAGGCAAGCAAGTATATGCTGTCTTGTACTGTAACTTAGTGTGGCCTTATCAACAGTGTTACATACTATGTATAGATTTGCATTTGTCTCTATTTTTCTCTGATCACCATCATCATCATTATTATCATCATCATCATTTTAGCTGACACATGCCTTTTTCACAGATCATGGGTTCACACTTTTTATTAAAAGGCAGTTTTGTATTACACAAACAACCATATTTTTTTTCCAGTCATGCATGGATATATAGTGTTTTTTCCAAGTTTTAACAATCATGAACAAGGCTGCCATATAAATTTGTGTGTAAGTTACTATGTGAATATACGTTTAATTCTTCTTGATAATCATCTAGAACTCTTGATAGTAGAATTTTTGTGTTAAGTGCAGTTTCATTTTACAAGAAACTTCTACCACATTTCCAATGGCTTACAGCATCTTAATCATCAATGTACTGGATATTAAAAATAGGCTTTACTTTTCAGAGGAGTTTTACTTCATTTTATTTTGAATATATTCTTAATTGAAAATAGATTTTCAATGCAATCCATTCTTATTATTGTTTTCCCACCATTTCTCTTCCAGATCATCCCTACCTCCCTCCCCTACCCAAACAGACACCTTTATTTCTCTTTCTCTCTAGAATAAAAGCAGATATTTAAAAACAACAATAATAAAGAAAATTAGATAAAACAAAATAGAGTAGAATAGGGCAGAACAAAGAGAAGAAAAAGAAAAATCTAAAACATAGATACAGGCACATACACATCTGCACACACAGAAATCCCATAACTGGTGCAGTCAGAAGAGAGACATCCAAGCACCCACCCTAGTTCTCATGGCCTTTGAGCAGTGGGCTCCACTGTGATGCTGGAATATGTGATAGAGAAATGGGAATGATGGAGTGAGTGTGGGAGAAATTGGAGAGAAAGAGAAGCCGAGCCTTTTGTGCACTGTGGAGAGAGGTGGACCTGGAGAAACTATGGCGGTGAGGAAAAGGCAGGTATGAGGAGCCTGCACAACCAGCTTGGGCCGTGGTGGTGTCCATGTCTTGGATATTGGCAAGGACCATGTCTATGGTCGTGATCCTCCTGCAGCTGTGGTCTGTGCCGATGGCAGTGGCCTGAGGTACCACCGAAGGCCTTGCGGACGCCGGTGGTCAGGGCTGCCACAGTAGACTTTGCAGACATTTGTGGCCCATGCTGCCGCTGGGGACAAACTAATCCGAATGGCCTGAGGCCATGGTGACAGCCCAAAATGGAAGACAATAATGATCCCTTCCCCAGCATTTGTAAATAGCCAATAGTTTCCCAGGAGAGATAGCTCGTGAATTTTTCCTTAGTCAAGGCTGACTTTTCACGGATTGAAACTTGTGCAGGCCCAGTACTAACAGCTGTAGCTGGATGGAGGTACTCCATGGTGGTTGATAATGACAATTTCAGAA